AATGAGGATCCCAAGTTTCCCAAACACACCCTTTGTTCTCTCTGGTCTCTCAAGCTGCCACTTTTATCAACTCTCCCTTGTGCATCCGTACAAGGGTAGGAGGAGCTGAGCTGGAGTAAAAGCACAATCACAGTCCCACTGTGGAGGAAAAGGGAACCGGGGGGAAGGAGGTTTATGACATCTAATCTGAAAACAGATGTTTTATCCGTGTGTTTTACTGTCATTTCAGAGAGCACCTGTGAGGCTGGAGGCAGAGGCAAGTACAGGGACATTGCACCAGCACATGAGAACCAAAGCGTGTAAGTGACCACGCTACTGCCACTGTCCATGCTGAGTGATCATTTTAAGGTCCAATAACACAGACACCTCCAGAAACTACTTCTACACAGTAATGGGAAGTGGTAACCTCACCTCTCCAAAAGCATGTAGTGCTTTGTTCTGGGGAATGGAGGGACACTGGACCCATAAACCCAGGCTGATTTTAGTGGCTGTTTTGAAGTCTGTGGCTGAGTCCCAAGAGCTCTACCCACCTGTCTCTGGCATCACTCACCAACCTGCAGGGCCGGCTCTTAAGGTAGAAGCTGTGCGTGCGATGAGTAGCAGGAGGATGAGAAGAAGGAAAGGGCTGGGTGTCTGTTTGCACAGGTTGGGAAAGAAGGGATCGGTGGGGGGATGTAGGCAAGGAGAGATACTTGCTGAAGCATTGGGTGAGGTTGGCCTAGTTTATACATGTGCTTCTTCATACGTCCATAAAGGACAATCATCATCAGTATCCATGACAAAAACAAGCACAATGGGTTAGATCCCTTAATGGGATGTGGCAGCAGATTCTAGCCACAGAGCTAGTATATCTAGCTTCAGTCGGAACATGCAGTGCAAGAGGGACCCTCTGGTGTCCTAAAGCCTGGGTAGAGGCTCCTGTAGAACACATATCCTGGTCCTGGCATAGGGGGCATGGCCAAGAGAAAAAGTATGACCCTATGCAGATCAATTACAGCAGTTCCTGCCTCTTGGGTAGCCAGAACAAGTAAGTGCAGCCTGCTCTAAATTATGCCTGGGGACCAGCCCCACACCCAGCCATCACAGGAATGGGGAATTGCAAAACTAATCTACACACCATGCTGGCAGACCCATGCCTCCAAAGTCTGCTGTGCTCAGCCAGGCTGCAGGATCTGGCCCATGAACGTGTGGAAACAACACTTTTCTATGTCTCACTTTACAACGACCCAGACAAAAACTGTGCCCACAAGAACAGCTTTAGGAGAAACAGCAGCTACAACTCATGTAGCACGCAGCAGCCTTCCTCTTAAACAATGTGCCCAAATATAGCCAGCCACCTTGCTCCATGTGCTCCACGGACTCCCCATTCACTTCCAGACTCTATTCAAAGCCTTGGTCCTAATCTACAAGGTCACAAAAGTGAAGAGCCTAGCCAACTCAGACTGTTCCTGGAAATAGAGGAAGTAAACTGAGGAGATGCTGAATGCTCAACATAACTGATACACATAGATCTTAGATATCATGGAGATAGATTCCTTATAAATACCATGGATAAATAATACCTATCTTCTGTATTTATGAAGGCATCTACTATGTGTACTATTTTCAGAGTAGCAGCCGTGTTAGTCTGTATTCGCAAAAAGAAAAGGAGGACTTGTGGCACCTTAGAGACTAACACATTTATCTGAGCATAAGCTTTCGTGAGCTTCAGCTCACTTCATCGGATGCATTCAGTGGAAAATACAGTGGGGAGATTTATATACATAGAGAACATGAAACAGTGTATATGATAACACTCATTGTTTCATGTTCTCTATGTATATAAATCTCCCCACTGTATTTTCCACTGAATGCATCCGATGAAGTGAGCTGTAGCTCACGAAAGCTTATGCTCAAATAGATTTGTTAGCCTCTAAGGTGCCACAAGTACTCCTTTTCTTTATGTGTACTATGTAAGGCTGGATTTTGGATTTGAATGGCCCCAAGCAAAGGACGGATGGTCCCAAGAAACTAGAGAAGGAAACCAGATGAACTCGCCACCAAAAAAAGGGGAAGAGGATGGACAGTGAGCTGCCTTCTTTCCAGCCTGCTGGAGGAGAGGGACGGTTGGTTTGCTCAAATTGCTCATCTCCATATAGTCCCCAAAATCATGGGTCCCAAAGGGCTCATTTGTGCTTAAGACCCAGCTCTATTACTAATAGGTTGCTGCCAGTGGGGTACTTTTCTAACTTGCCCAAAGGTATTTATGTTGAAAGTGACACATGCTGACCTAGGATGTCCCTGTTAAACATTGGTATCATGTACGCATACCTTCACTTGAGAAATCCTTCTAGTCTTAGCAAGCTAACTATGAAGAAAGATAGATCTTTGTCCACAGTGTTTTCTTTCAGGGTTCAGGATAAATTCCACCTGCTCCTGAAAACTACTGAGTTATCTTAACTCCCTTAATTCCTCTATTTATTGATCCCCAACTCTTCTAAAACACTGGAAACCCATTTCAGACACCACACAATATGAAGCTAAACTAACTAGCAATGGCACATTGATATGACAGTCCAAAAAATTGAGCCTAATTTCCCACTGCTAGTAATTTATAGATAGTTATGGTGAATTGTAATCTGCTTTTATTGTCTAGAAATTTACTGAAGAGGGAGGATTTTAGGCATGGAGCAAAAATCTCATCTGGCTTCATAGATCTTATTTTGATATGCTGCACTGTTTAAGTACTAGTTCAGTAGAAAAGTAAAAACCACATTCTAGCAGGTGCTAAAATTTCTGTAACCACTGACTGCTAAGCCACCAGGTAATATTCAGGAACCATGGATCATAATTCTTATCATTAATATGTAGGTCAACTCACTGATCTTAATTTATATAGGATGGTGAAAGTAGGTCTTGGAATATAATTCATTTGGGACATTCCTAAAGTCTCCCAACACACAGCTTTTTAAGCAAAACAAATATTAAGCATAACAGATGCATTAATTTACTCTAGTTCACCAAAGGTTAACTCTTACCCAAACCGATCATTAGAAAATAAATCCTATAATCCCTCTTTCCCATTCAGGCTCTAAACATGTAATCGCATGAATAAATCTAGAGAGAAAGTGTAACAAAATAGGCAATAAAAACTCACTGCATTCGCATCTTTTTATCTACCATTAATATTGTAAACACTCTCTTTCAGGCCCTTTAGTATGACTAATCTAACGTTTTGGCTTCCCACACTACTAGCCATAATAGTGTGCCTCTTGTTATAACAACCAGTTTGATTCACCACCATAGAAAAGTGGTAGAAGAAGATACCTCAGAGTAAATGCTAGTGTCAGATCTTCTTGCAAAATGCTGCAAAATCAGCACTAAATCTAAAAAGTATGGTTCTAATAGTAAGAGAGTACAGAACTTTCTCTTTTTTTGCTTCATTATTTTATTGCTCTGGAAGCCTGCAAGCTCCAACTGTATAAATGCCAATAACTTCCCAAGTTTTAAGGCTGTTGAAGTAAGAGATCAGATTTTAGCAAGTGCTTTCCAGGCAGTGAGCCAAACTTCTTCTGATTCACTAAAAGCAACAAGGGGGCTGGGGGGTGGGGGGGAGGGGAATGAAGAGTTGATTAACTTCAGTTACCACACAATTTCAAAAATGTCTTAGTGCGAAGGGTGCAATCGCTGATTGCCCTGCCTGCCCAGCCTGTTGCGGGGGGGAATGAACTGGAGAAATACAGCAAACGCCTTCCAACCACAAAGTAGTTTACAGCTGTAGATCCCCTCTCTTGATTAGGAGGCTGCTCTGCTGAAATAAGGAGTTATTTTGTTTTTATAATCTAGCTGCAATTTTGCGGGAGGCGGGGGGGTGGGGAATATGACATTTTTTTTCAATTTGGCCCCAGGCACTGGTCGTATTTCAGACACTTTAATCAGTTTGCAGAGGATCCGTTCCTCCCCACCTCAAAAACTGCCAGAGAACCCTGGAAGAACAGGTGCATTCCTGGCCCTCGTGCATGGGCATTGACCCAAGGGGTGCGGAACGACTGGGACCGCCACCGGTTTACACGGCAGCGCCTCAGAATACGAGTGGGAACCCAGCCCAGGTCACACTAGCAGGGCAGAGCAAGACGGAAGGGCTCCCAGAACTGGAGCACCTGCTTTGCCAACTCTGAAACACTCAAGATCGCGGGTGTGTCCTCTCCAGACGCACGTGTTGCATTTACACCAGCGAAAACTATGTCCTAGCAAACCACATCGTTTTTAAACCGTATTTTTGTTGTCGTGGAAAATGTGATTCGACTCACTCCACCCCGAATTTCAAACTCCCCCGCTCCTCCCCCCGATCTCTATCCCGCCTGTCTGTCAATTTCACGAGACAGCAGAAGTCTCGCTCCCAGTGATTTTCTAATTGTTTCACTTCTGCAGCTCGAAGGCAGCATCTTGCTTGGGTGGCTTTCTACTGAATAATTGGCGGGGGGAGATGGGCGAGCAAGAAGCCTCCTTTTTCCGGCAAAGGACACTTGTGTTTTTTTCCAGTATCACTTCGTGTAAGTTCCCTAGGGAAAGGAGATCTAACAAGATCTAGCGCGTGCTATTCCACTACACATGCATCCATCCACATTTTGCAACTAGTAGAGTCCAACACTCCGCTCACATCATTAGCCAGGCTAATGCACTCCAGAGAATCCTTTTAATGTAGGCTACTGGCATCCACAAACGAGCTGTGGCCATTTGAAAAGGGGAGGGAAGGGAGGAGGTAAGAGAAATTAAAGATCATTTGTTCGTACAGTGGGTTGCCAGAAGTAGTCACTGAAATGAGGCTTAGCCAGAGGTGCAGCTGGTTTCCAGAGCAAGTGACACTCCACTATCTGGCGTGGTGATCATTTTAATCAAACTATAAAACTAGGGGTGGGGGGTGAAACCCCTTTGCAAAACTGCCTGACACTCAGAGGTCAACACGCCTCCTTTGTTTCTTTTTCCAACCCAAAGGGAGAGAAGACAGAAAGGACACATACCTGTACCTGAAAGCACAGCAGCAGGGAATGTAAACATCTGGAGAGGAGAAAAAAAAGCAACAAAAGATCAGATGATGCCGTGAAATGGCTATTATTATTATGAGTATTATTATTGTTAATACCACAGATCGATGCTTTGGTTAGGAAAGGCTCGGGTCTCAGTGACCACCTGATTGCAAGGAAAATGCAACCGGAGCCTTAAAAGATGAAAGTTTTCCCCCCCACACACACCACCCCAATTTTTTTTTTAAATGTCATAATCCTTACAAGCAAGTGCAGGCTGAGAGCAGTGAATACATCGCTGAGTGAGAAGTGGGGGAGGCCAGTGGCTTCAAGTTAACGGAGCAAAATCCCCAGCCGCAGCCTTGACATGGGAATGATCCAGTTATAAACCCCCGCAGATTTCCAGCGATCTCGCTTCGCGCTGATAAACAAAGATGAGAAGTTGAGACACTGCCTGGTCTGCCTCCTCCGAGTGGCTCTCTTAGGCATCAGCTCTCCTCTTCCCCCGTCTCTCCTCCTCCTCCTCCTCCTCTCTCCGCCTTTGGAGAGATGAAGGTGCTTATTGTCAGTAACTTCCGATCATCAGCAAATAAACCCCCCCCCCCCCTTGCCTCCCCCGCTGTGCTAAGGACCCAGCCCTGCGAGGCGGATAAAGCCTTTTCCTGGATTCAGCTCCCCCAGATAGAGGCGCAACAGCAGCAGCCGCAGCGCTAGTATTTGCTCGAGGTTATGAGGGCTGGCGTTTGCCCTCTGATCCCCTTCCTTCGGATGAATCCCTCGGTGCTTGGGAGGTTATTTCAGGGGGAGCATGGCAGGGTGTAGCCCACAGGTCTCCTCCACCGCCGGATAGGTTCCTCGAGAGGTCAGAGAAGGGGGGGGGAAGGATGGATCTTTGCTCTCATGTGCACCCGCGCAGCTAATAGTCCGTCTGCCGGGGGAAAGCGCACACACAATGCTGGAGCAAAGGCTTCAGCCCTGATCTCTCTTCTCTTGCAGGCTCATGTTTCCTGCTCTCCCTTTCTCCTTCCCTCAGCATCACCACCTAGGGAGAGCATCGACCAGTGGTGTTTCCAATCAGTGCAGCAGGAAAAAGCAATCTCTCCACTTGCTGGGCGATCAAGATAAATACAATTGACCCCCCCCCCCCCCACCGCCTCCGCAGTTCAGAGAGGCGATGAGCCCGGGCAGGAGTCCCCGATCCGCAGGCGAGCAGGGGCAGTCCCGGTGTATTTTTAAGGGTTCCTTCTCGATCGATGGGTGGGAACCAGACACACCTACCCCCAAAACAGTACCCGGCTAAGCAGACACGGGAAGGAAGCTCCTCGCTTATTATGCAGTAAGGGCAAGTGCCGAGCGCTTGGCTCCGAAAAGTCCCCTTCAGCTAGAAGAGCCCAGAGCTCTGCACAAAACTATCTGGTGGAGGCAGCTTAGCCGCTGGTCCTTCTCGATCCAGAGCCGTGACATCAAAGCCCGAGGGCAGGTTCCTACAGCAAAGGGTACGAAGCATCCTTTAAAAAACAAAACAGACAAGTTTTTTTTTTGTAAGGGGGGGGAGTGGGTGTGCCAAAGCCAAAACACCGCTCTCGGGATGCGTAGTGGGTGTCAAATAATACCACACACACACACACACCCTTACCCACAAAAACAACAGCCTTCAGCTTTCTCCGACAGCTCGATCTTGCTTCCTACACAGGTTTGGAAACAATTTCAGTCCTCCCTGCGCCTCTGCCTTGCCCAGCTCCAGCAGCAGGCAGGGAAATCCGCAGCCCGCTCAGGGTTGAATGTCTTGCCCCAAAATCGAGCAAGCAACGCCCCTCTCCCCCCACGCTGGCTGCTTGGTGGGAGCTAGAAGCCAAGCGGCTGCGTCTGACTGTTCTCTTTGGATGGCCCACCAGCGCCGCGGATGCTTCCCTCGCCTCTGCCCCTTCTCTGTCCAGGAGCTCAGTGCTGACCACTAGCAAAGAGCCACCCGCCGTCCAGAGCGCTCCCCCGTGTGCTGCAAAGCGCGCAGCTCCTCTAGGCTCATAGAAGCGGCGGCAGACACGTGTCAGCCTGAAACAATCCAGCATGTTGCTTTGTTGCCATCCCTAGACAAGCCGGCCAAGGGAACCAAACCTCACATGCGCCCACTGTGTCCAGGGCTGCTGCTTCGTTTCTGGAGGGTGACACGAAAGACAGAAGCTGTTTCACTGGTGCTCAGAAAGCAACACGCCCGAGAAACAGGCAAAGAGACTGGTGAAACCATTGGAATGGGAGGAGAATGAAACTCTCTCTCACACGCACACACACACGTGTGGGAAACCCTAAGAACCCAGACTCATGTCCTTTGTTGGTGGTATCAAGATGCTGCCGAAGAACAGCTTCTAGGCCCCCCTCTCCCCTTGCTTCATGCCAGGTGTTGTTACTGTGTACGTGGGCACAAAACAGCCTCCTCTGATCGTTGCCCAGGCCCTGCCTTCCGGCGTGTGTGCGCTCGAGGGGAAATGAGAAGTGACTCCGATTCAGTCAGTGCAAGGCGGCGTGTAAGGGCAGTGTCAGGGGTGGGGGGGAGGGGCTGTGTGTGCCGCCTGGGAATGTGGGTTAGTGGCACTGCGGATCTGGGGCAGGGGGAGGCGAGTGGATCGGTGTCTGTCTGTCTTTGCTGTCCAGGATGAAAGTGTCAGACCCACTCACCTGCGAGATGTGCTGCAGCAGGAATTCCCACTCGCTAGCCAACTTCACCAGACGGGCGGTTCACGCTTCAATTCACCTGTCAAACTCCCCGAGGGCGGAGAACCCTGGGACCTTGACAAACATTCTCCTTGACTGATCAGGAGCAGCCATCCCTTTTGAAAGCAGCAGCTGTCTCCTGTTTTAACACCAGTGAACCCTTAATGAAACAGCTCGGATCATCCTGAGCCGTATGGTAAATGCACACTGAAATACACAGCTAAGTGATCGGTGTGGCTCTAGCCACAAACTCATAGAGAAATGCAGGCACAGAGATGCTTTCAGCCTTGAAATTGCTGACACCCTTCAGATCTGTGGAGCTGGGGGCAGCATTTTGCCAGGTTACTATTTATTATGATTGCCACATCTTCCACGTTGGGATATTTACAGCAGAATCAGGTTGTTTGGGTTTACACAGTGCAAGTCAAGGAATTTCCCCAGATCCCAGCTGTTTTCCACCTCCGCCAGTTTTAGTTTCAAAACGCTTCGCTTGCCATCTAGTGGAAGAACCTTGCAGGTGCAAGCATCACCTGCAGCAGCCTAAAACCCGACTCCCAGCCTATCATCATGCTGAATGTCAATCAAAGAGCTACTTTATTCCTTAGGCGATTACGGTGGAGTGAGCTGTAAAGTTATACTCCGACTACCTGTGCCCATGAAGCTGTTGTTTTACCTATGTCCTTTGCTATGTTAAAGAGCACTGCAAGAGTCTCTAAGCCACCAGAAATTAGGTCATGCAGTAAGGGCCTAATGAGGAAGAGTCAAAGGACTACTCATGCCAACAACAGGGTGTAGATGCTTTCCAACCATCTCATCTAAATACTCAGACTGCTCAGCGGGGACCCAAGTGAGTCTGCTTCAACTCATGTTAAAAACCATTTTTAAAAATAATAAATGACAAAATTCATGCATGTAAATGCATTGGGAGAGTACAGTGAGTATTTCCCCTTCTTCAAAAATTCATTTATAGTAGACAAAATGCCTGGAACTATTCTAATTCTCAAAAGAGAACATAATGTCAGTTAACACAATATTAATTGAGAACCTAACGATAGCTCATAACTTTAAGGTTTTTAAATTCTCCACTCAAATACCAGTGTATTTCAGGCCCTCTCATATCCCCATTTAAATGACACAGTGCTCTAGCTCTCTTCATATTTTTAGCAACAAATCCTTATTCTTTGCAACATCCTTATTCTTTGCAGTTGTTGCTCCATAAACCCCAGTCCTGCAGACACCTGTCTGCATAACTTTGTTCACATTAATAATCCTACTGACTTTAATGGGTCTACTCCTGCGAATAAAGATATGCACATGTTTAAATGTCTTCAGGATCAGGGCCATAATGATAATGATGGACTGCTGTGAAACTCAAATAGCATCCCTGCAGTTGGTCCTTGTTTACAGGGACCAGCTCGTGAAAGATCATCAGAGCTTTTCTGTTGAGGTTTGAAAGTCCATTGTTTATCATGGTTCAAATCCCTAAATTGTCCAATGGGAGATACTGCACTAAAATTCATGGATTAATTACTGTGATGGAGAGACTTGTTTTAAAATCTCTGTTTAGGGATAAAAATATTAAACTTCCACCTAGTCTTATTTCATGCCTACTTTATTTAGTCTAGGACAGAGTGTTTGGTAGGGTGCTGTTAGAAGGAGAAAATGGACTTTTCCTTCTAGCTGTAGTTGGATATTGCTCACGTACCTGGAAGATGAGCAACTCCAAATGGAAAAATATAGGATTTTCCATGCACATCAGGCCAGCGGTCCAGTAAGTTTGGGATCTTGCTCCTGGCAGTGGTAAGTATCTGATGCTTAAGAATAACATCCTGCATAATGAATGTAACCAATTACACAACGCCATCTGGAAGTTGGGGGGTGGGCAGGGGAAGTAGTTCCTGCTTAACAACTGCCTTCACTCGCTTTAGGCCCTCAAGCATCCGATTTGACTACCCCTGTCTCAACTTTCATGACCAGCAATGTCAGCAAAGGTCAAAAAATTATCCCAGCCTTCTAAAATCCAGTCACAATATTTGACTTGGGGCCAGATTCAGCTCCCATTGGCATCAACGGTAACACTCTGCTCAGTGTCAGTGGGAATAGAGAGGACCCGCAGTGACCTCTTGCAGCAGTGAAAATTCCACAGGATGTCCGCAAACTGCATGAAAAATAGTTACATTCATGTATCTATTTTTCAAGCTTCCTAGTTATCAATTTCACTGAGTGGCCCCCCTTTATTCTCACATTATGGGACAAGGTAAAAAGGAAGGACTTATGCATTGTCATCATGCCTTTCAGAAGCTGACGCATTTCCATCAAGTTCCCTCTAACTCTTCTCCAGTCACAGCTAAATAATTCTCATTTTCCCCACTGCTGTAGCATTGTAAAACCTCCTAAAAATAAATTCTACAAAGGCTATTTTCTGAGGTACAGTCAATATACATTTTTTAAACACAAAAATGGATGTCAGCTATGGAAACAGTCTATAGAATCAATCTGTTCCTGACAAAGAAAATCCTGGACACTTTGGCAAGCAGCTGGAAGCAGATCGTAACACAGCCAGCTCCCCATGAGCCACTAACATGTGCTCCATCAGCCAGCAGTGACTCTACAGACGAATTTGGGAACCACTGGTCTATCAGACCACCTTGTACATCCTCAGCTAATGCAGGATCATTCTGTACATTAAATGATCATCTTTTATTACTTATATTATGGTACAACCTAGAGGCCCCAGCTCAGATCAGGACTCCATAATGGATGGCATAATATCTGCCACAAAGAGCCTGCAATCTAAACACACAAGACAGAGAAAGGACGGGTGGTGATACGGGGGCACAGCGAGGTCAAGTGATTTGCCCAGAATCACACAGCAGGTCAGGACTGGAATTGTTTGATTATCTATTCCAGTTTTAAATGACACTTGATGCTAGGTGATTTTGCACTATATTTTGTGAGGGAAACAAAAACAAAAAAACTCCCCACTAAAAATTTTCCCTTTACTTTTTTGAGTAATATGGTAACAGTAAAAAAATATAGCCCAATCTGCCATACATTTCACCTGTCCCTCCATTGATAACATCAAGCTACGGCTTTCTACTACTTTTACAACCTTAAGCTTTGTTCTGGCAACATGTGAAATCTGAAAGGGGCCCATTTCCCCTCTTCAAACATGATATGCATTGCTATCTAGTGATTATAGCTGGGAATTCAGGACTCCTGGATTCAGTTTTTGACTCTGCCACTCAGTGTGGCACCTCAGTTGTGCCTGTACTTATCTGTGAAATGGGGATAAGCTTCCCTATCTATGGGGTGTTGTGTGGCATAATTCATCAATAGTTGTGTGGTGCTCTGACATCCTCAGAAGGAAGGCGTCATAGCAGTGCAATTATTACTTAGGCTTGAGCATTGATATGCATGATACACCATGCATCCCATGGTAGAGGGTGGTGGTAGAGGAGGTCAAACTAACGTCACCCAGATTTAAATATAAGGAGGAAGTGAAAGACTCTTAACTTTGGAATTCACTGGTCCAAAAGAGCCAGAGACTATTGACTTTCAGAGGGTGGTGCATTGCCCGTCTCTTTTCCCAGGCTCTTTCTGAGGGGGTTGGCTGAGGGTGGTGAGTGGATTGAGAGTGACTGTTGAGTTGGTGGGAAGGACTATTTATGTGGCCATTGGGTGCACTGGATGCATATTTTTAACAGCTTTGTACATGGACCACAAGCTCTGATGAGGCCACAGTTTAAAAATCTAAATCCACAAATAAAAGAAATAGACCCCCGTTATCTTGCTGTTTTATGTCCCTCGAGGAGAAGGATTTGGATCCAAACAGGGCACAGTAGGAAGGAGTGAAATGGAGATTTTGAGCAGCACACTCACAGCCAGCAGTCCTCTTGCATCCTGTACCTAAAGGGGAAAGGGAAACTTGTTTGGATAAAATCAGAACTGGTTCAATCCTCTGCCCAAAACTAGAACCAGGCTAAGCTCCAGGCTTCTGGTGAAGACTGGAAAACTTAGTTACTTTTCACTTCCACCTTGTGCCTCTGCACTTGTGGAATCTGGAGCAGCAACACCAGAGGTACCATGAGAGAGAAAGATTCTGTATGAAGTGGAAACCTCATCATTTGAGACATTTGAAAATAGATTCAACCAAACACTACTAAATGTGCAATAGAGAATAATCAGGCACTGACACAAGATGACCAACGGGGCTTTTTATCTCTCTAATTTACATAGATCAAATTCATCCTTGGGGTGACACCACTGAAGTCGCCAGAGTTACACATGGATTAATTTGTCCCGGTGATCCTGTTAGTGCCTGTTTCAGATATCAGCAGCAGTGTGTTTGTCAGATGTATTATCTATCAAACAAGGTACCTCCCTGTGGAG